GTTTCCAGCATCCAACCCGGAAAATATCCAAGGAGGTCCTCCTGGGCATAGGTAAGCAGGATATAAGTGGTCCCGTGACAGCTAGGGGACTAACTCCCATGTTTGTATTGGCAGAAACAGCACTTCATTTTACCACTGCCTTTTTGTATCTACAGATGGAAAGCTGTGCATCGGTTACAACCGAGGGCCCATCTCAAAGGCAAAAATCAAAGCCATCAAGTACAGCATGGTCATCATTCTCGGTAAGTAACGTCCATCCTGGCGGTGCAGAACTGAGTGACATTCCAAACACAAACTTGTGCCTAGGACCTGGTGGTGGAGAGCCCACGGGAGAAAGGAACTTGTCTATAGGTACTTTTACTTCTGTCTGATTGGAGTGGAGTGCATGGAATGTATCAGTCTATTTGTGGCTCCTTCAAAGGATGACATTTGTCTTCTAATTCTTCTCTTTATTAATATAGTTGTCCACCAAGGCCAGGGGGTGGATAATTTGGAGAAAATCTAATTACTAGCCAAAGCTGATGTTCACTATCACCCAGTTGTTTTCTCTAAGACATAGTCTCCCTCGAGGCTAAAGCTCATGACTAAAAAGAGGACAAAAGTGACATCCCGTTTCTTCTGGGTATTTAATTTCAAGGTCACTATAAATTTCTCCTTAATGGGTACCTTATCTTCTCTCTCTCTCTCTCTCTCTCCTGTCTTCTCCGTTTTTTTTTTCTTTTCCTTTCTCTCTACTCTTAAGACCCACTAAGTCACCTCATCTCCAAAAATAAGGTTATTTCTAGAGCACCTACTATGTGTCAGATTGGTGTGCGTTCTTTGTTATTCTCAAACCTTCAAAACTTCCTCTCCTTTAGCCCCCTTCAGCTAGTGACCTTGATTCTTATTTCAGTGAAACAATACAAGTAAACAAACTAGAACGTCCTCATTCTCCTGCCTTCACCGGCTCTGATGGGAAGCGTCTCCATCACGTGCTCTGCCTTTTCTCTTCCTTCTGTAGATAAAACAGCACTGCTTCTTTCTCTGTCCAAAATGTTCACTGGAGCCTGAATCCCAGCCCTGTCTGCCTACTCAAGAATTTTGCACCTCTAATTTATTATCTTCTCTCCCCCACAGACTTCCCCTTTGACTGGATCATATGCGCACACACATGCTTTATAACAGCTCCCTCCATGAATTCTAGTACAGACCCCCCTCCGCAGCCCCTTTTCCAGCACCACTCCTCCAGTCCGCCTTCAAGGGGCAGCACGGCTAACCCCCTCACATCATTTTCTCTCCCAGCAGCGCCACTTCCTCACGAAGGCCTTCTTGACAAGTTTTAAGTAGCCCTCCTATAGCCACTGCCCTGCTTTTTTTTTTTTCATATTCCTACTTCTAGCTGACATTCTAAGATATGTATTGATCTGCTTATTGTCTGTCTTTGCTGGTGGAGTCATACTTCCATGCGAGCCAGGACTTTTACTTCTGCGTTCCTTACGATATAGCACCAAGGCCATAATAGGGCCCCCGCATGCTGGGTGCTTAATTAATATCTGGCGAATGAAGGAATGAATGAGGATATGCAAAAAGGATATGTTGCTTCTTTTTCATGTGGCTCAAATACTACCCCTCCCTACCCCTCCTGTGACCCTGGGCAGCTCTCAGAAAGCATAGCCCTCCAGTTAGCTGCCTGTCAAGTTACCAAAACAGCCACTCTCACCTTTTGAAAACACAACAGCAAAAGGCCAAATAGACCACACGCAGTGTGACTCGACCAGACGACTACAAGCACAAAACAACACTGTCGGCAGACTTGGGGGATAAAGTATAGACAACCCACCAGGGCTCAAAAGCCTCTCCCAGGAGCCTCAGAAGTAAATCAGAGACTCCCTTGTCTTCCCAATCAGAAGCACAGACCCGCCCGCACCCCTGAAGTGTCATTCAGGAAGTATTGCTTATACGTGTGTTCCATAGCCAACATGACCTTTTGTAATGAGGTACCACATTCCCAGGCCTTGAGGTCCTTTTAGTCAGAGAGCAGGGAACCCCACAAGAGGGTCAGCCAGTGTCGACAGCCCAAGCAGACCAAAACAGCCCTCTCTATAACAAATATTTTGCAATGCCCCTTTACCATCCTGAAACAACATGTATACATAATACTACTGACCTAACATAATTCTTAAACAATCAATATATTATAATATAAAGGAAGACTAGAAAGAAAATAATGTCTAATAAAACAATACAGACTTCAGTGTGTACATACTTGGGCAAAGCTACACTGGAAGAAGAATGAAGCAACCAGCTAGACATAGCAGCAGCTACAAACGAAAACCTATACAGTTGTGTTTTCATGGAGACATAAAAAATTAAGCAGATTGCTGTCGGTGATTTGATTTTCTGAGCAGGTGAAGAAACCCTGCTAATGTTCCAAATTAAACAAACTAATCATTCCTCACTTGCAAGGGAATTTCATTTCTAGAAAATTCTATATTTATTAAAAATATTTGCATTCCTATGTAAAATAGAATTAGATTTCTAGACGGTGATAATTACAAACAGGGTTTTCTGCTCCATAAATGTCCAGTTGGGAATTCAAAGGATGTATGGGACATGGGTGGGACTGCCCTGCACCACAGAGGAGGGCTGGCACCTCTGGATTAACCAGAACCACACCCCAAACACGCATACCCTCAAATACATAAACACACACATTTTCAAAATGCTCCAAAAAAGGCAGTTTTGCCCTTCCATGCCCAGAAGTTCCCAAGCTTTCAATAAAGAGTCAACAATTGTGATCAAATCGGATCTTCCCTTTACGGATAGAGAAGCTCTGGGAAATGTACCGTTTGGGAAACGTATCTGTGTGATGTTTGTGTGTATGTGCACATGTGTCTGTCTTTAAGTAAATATGACATGAATGTTCACACTCAGCTATTTTACACATTTCTGAGAGATCCCGGGTGCTAAGGAGCATCCTAGTGGAGGCTCCAGTCAGGGCGGGCACAGGGCGCCCCCTGGACTCCGCCCCCCCTCCCCCCCACCGTGATGCTCCCCTGTGGTGCTCCCCACTTTCTTCTCCCCAGCCTTCATCTGCTGTTGGAGTCCGTACTTCCTCTTCGACATGTTGGACAATTTCAACCTCCTTCCAGACACCGAGGAGCGCTTCTATGCCTCTGTGATCATTCAGAACCTGCCGGCCTTGAATAGCGCTATCAACCCCATCATCTACTGCACCTTCGGCAGCTCCATCTGCATCCCCGGCAGGTAAGAGGCACTGCTGCCTGCGACAGACACGCCAAAGCCCACGGCGCTCAGGCTCCGATGTGCGTCTTCCTCACTCCAGAGCTCCTCAGCAGGTTAGACGTGAGACGCTTCAGGGTCACAAAGGTCCTGCTAGTTTAACAAATCAAACCCTGGCCCAGGCTGTGGCCCACGCTCTTTAACCTCAGCCACAACCCCTTT